GTGTGTGTGTGTGTGTGTGTGTGTGTGTGTGTGTGTGTGTGTGTGTGTGTGTGTGTGTGTGTGTGTGAGTGTGTGTGTGTGTGTGTGTGTGTGTGTGTGTGTGTGTGTGTGTGTGTGTGTGTGTGTGTGTGTGCGTGCGTGTGTGCCGCTGCTGATGTACAGTACGCCGTACAGTGTGTGTGTGTTGTTGCTGGTGTATAGTACGTCGCACAGCGTGTGTGTGTGGGTGAGTGTCGCGGCTAGTGTACAGTATACCGTGGAGTGTGTGTTTCACTGTTGGTGTACGCCGCGCCGTACAGCTGTGTGAAGTATTGTCATGGTTATTTAGATGCGGCTGGGCATCGGGCGTCAGCTGGCTAATTTTCCTCAGGCTGAGGCCAATTCGAATTGACATCATTGATCTTTTCCTTTGCAGCTGATAACCCCAAGGTTGAAACTAAATTCAAATGGTATCATTAATATTTTGCCTATCTATGCTTTTTGACTTATATCGCACCCTATGCAAAAGTAATCCAGCTTCCTCTATTCAAGTTACAAGGCTGTAGAGTTCCACTGCATAGATGGAGACGCTCCTGAACGGGATTCACTGTATCTCTTGAATACAGGTCAAATATTTTATACAAAATATAGAAACAGCTCTGCTTGAAATACTTGTCTTCTAAGCGAATTAAACCATCTAAAAGACAATCCACGCAGATGAAATGTTTTTACATTAGCACGGTTATCAGTGAAATGCTATCCATCTCTGACTTACGAATGTGTCAGATATTATTACAGGTAGCGCAGTAGGCAGGAGACGACCCAAGTTTTTATTCTGCATCCCTTCCTACAGCCCCCGCAACCTTATAGGAACAATGGGTAAAATAAAATCACGTACCTGTGTCGATGAAGTTTTCAGTTGCGTTTTTCAGTTGTCCTTTCTTCAACTGGTTTTGCGAAATTGTTCCCCTGACAACGAGTGTTACACTTTCGTACAATGTACTTAAATGAGATGGGCAATCCCGGCCCAGCACTATTACATCTGAAACAGAACTTTGTGACTCACGCTGTGATAAGCTTGCTGCTTTTAATGGGTTTGTTATCTCCGTGTCTTAATATTATTATTATATTACAAAATTAGAGACCTAAAGAATGCTCATTAATTTTCCAGTTCCACAGTTCACACACGACTCCTCCCGGCAGTTTCACGCGTCCCCCGCATAGGCACAGCGTACAGGCACAGTACACAGGTTTAGGCTCTAAGACTCAGGCTGTCAGTCACTCACAACACAACAGTCTTCGTTTACACCTACGTTAGTGTCTACATCTACGCCTACGTAAGTGCCAGTTTACACGCAACACCTTGCAGCCTTGCTGCACACCCCAGCACAGGTCACCAGATCAATTTCTGTATACCTTTCGGCCGTGTCGCACACCACTATCAGATCAATGCGCGACCGACAGCTTGCGGCCGCGTCATACGCTCTCGCACAGGTTATCAGGTGTCACCTACAATCTCACTTGCTCATCGTCGTCCCGCCCACCGCTCATCGTCATCGCAACAGCCCATTCTGTGCTCATCGTCATCGCGACAGCCCATTCTGTGCTCATCATTGTAGTAGCCCATTCTGTCCTTATCATCATCACAGTAGCCCATTCTGCGCTCAATATCATCGCCACAGCCCATCCTGTGCTCATTATCACCGCAGCAGCCCATTCTGTGCTCGTCAGCATCGCAGCAGCCCATTCTGTGCTCATTATCAGCGCAGTATCCCATTCTGCGCTCATCATCATCGCAGCAGCCCATCCTGTGCTCATCATCATCGCAGCAGCCCATCCTGTGCTCATCATCAGGGCAGTAGCCCGTTCTGTGCTCATTATCAGCGTAGTATCCCATTCTGTGCTCATCATCATCGCAGCAGCCCATCCTGCGCTCATCATCATCGCAGTAGCCCATTCTGAGCTCATCATCATTGCAACAGCCCATTCTGTGCTCTTCATCATCGCAGCAGCCCATCCTGTGCTCATCATCATCGCAACAGCTCATTCTGTGCTTATCGTCATCGCAGCAGCCCATCCTGTGCACATTATCATCGCAGCAGCCCATTCTGTGCTCATCATCATCGCAACAGCTCATTCTGTGCTCATCACCGTCGCAGCAGCCCATTCTGTGCTCATCATCATCGCAGCAGCCCACCCTGTGCTCATTATCATCGCAGCAGCCCATCCTGTGCTTGTCAAGAATCGCGATATCGTCGCAATCTCCACAATACCGTCCCGCAGCCTGTCGGTCTACTGAGGTACCATGTCCCATACCAGAGCGCGATCTGGTCAAGTTCGCTTTCTTTTCGAGCCTTAGCTTGAACCACAGTGACCAGGCTCTTGCCAAGCCAGATCATTGGTCGTGAGTTATATTGGGTAGGTCGTCTGTCGTTGTTTGGTGTACATCAGAGTACTGCAAAAAATACAACTTCGTGCTGAGTTGCCTCCAACTCACTTCCGCGTGTTAAAGTATATGGAACAATAGTATGTAGTCTGCATGAATTAAGGTACAGGGTACAAGTGTTATGATCAAATAGCCACTAACTAGACCCATTCCATACCATGGGAAACTTAACCACTGGCCAAAGACCAGCGGGGATATCAAGGCGTGTCACGTGCTGTTTTTCATGCAACACATCGTAACGCTTTAAAGCTAAGATGTTTTCGGATGTATCGAGATAATGTGGATGGTCAATAACTTGGAAGAGCCCGCACAGGCGGAAGACTAAAGTAAACAGCCAGCGCCGCTCGTCACGTTCGTTACTTTGTTTCCCGCCCGTCCCCCGTCCTGACCTGGAGCTTACGACAGCATTGTTTCATATGCACATCATGGAAGGCAATGGGTGCCCCACGCGTGGTCGGTACCTAGTATTTCTACGTGAAAGTCGCTAGAAGGCAACAGTAAATGTTGCAACTTTTATCTAAAACTCAGAAAGGAAACTAACTGAAGACTTGGAAAAACTGGCCCAGACAAACAGATGCAGTCATCATGCCCTAGGATGTTGTGTCAGTGTTTGTCATTTCCTCCCAAAAAGTTTCATGGCATGTTCCGTATGTGAACTGTGCTAAATTATCTTCGAAATGGCTAGTCCAGTTCAAAACTACATGAAAATGTGGAACGTTCTCTTTAAACCGAGTAAGCCACCTTTTCTAGTGTTCTATTTTTGTTAGTAAACCATTTATTGTAACTAACCCAGGGCACGGGGCTTTACTAACATAACACAGCCCATTTCGTAGGAAATACCAGTTTTCTCGAAATCGTTCCAAATAACTTACAAATTTTATTTGAATTAGCTGCTACTACGGGAAATAAGATCAGTGGCTCCCTGTTGACCACCGTGAAAGCACTTCAGTCTACCTGCCTTGCTTTTCCGAAGTTTGTGTGATAGAATATCTGCAACACACTAATTTGTTTGTGTGATAAATTCTGCGATAGGTTGAAACACCCTTCAGAGAAAGCCTACACAAACGTCACTCTTTTATCCTGCGATTTTAACGAAACGCTGTGGCTCTAGATTCTCTCTCCCCCCTCTCTCTCTCTCTCTCTCTCTCTCTCTCTCTCTCTCTTTACCCCGTCTCTCTCTTTCTCCCTAAGGCAATGGGAAAAAACAGCGCAGCCTAACAGTACATGATGGTTTAAACCAAGCACCATTTGGTGTGTCCATGGACAGAAACACATGAACTGTGATAAATGAAATAAGTTGATCGTTTTTCACCCTAAAGGCGTGCTTAATGACCCTCTGTGTGCTTTTTAACTGGAAACTGCAAAACACCCAGCGCAACGAACCCTGTCTGAAAATGTGAGGCAATATGTCTTACAATGTTCCAGCCAGAGAGCATGTTTCCCTAATGTGGTGGTTTTTGTGAAATGGAGAAGAATAGTTGGGATGTGGTTAAAAACGTCCTGATGGCTTTTATGACACATAGTCGCCCTCACGACTATGTGTCTGTGTTCTGCTGTTCATGCAATCTTTTGTTCCAAGCTGGCAGTAAGTCATGTTACTAGTGTGCACAACGAACCGCTGGTGCAATCCAGCTGTACGTGTTTGTCCATGAAAAACACTATCTCAGCAAACTTTAAGGTTATCATGTGTACCAAATTTGCTGCTAACATTTTTAGACGTAATAAGTGTTGAAAGGAATCCGCACGGATTCATTTTACCATTTTTTTCTGTTAAGCTGGGACAGATTAGACTGCATTTATAAATCTGAGAAAGCGAATTGGAGAGCAGGTCGGGTTTAGGCTGTCCAGATCAGATCAGGCAGGATCCTGAAGGTTCAAACCGTACAGTGCTCTAGCTTGGACGTTCCATTTTTGCGTTATGTTGAGTGTTATGAACTTGTTGCGTTATGAATTTTGGATGTTGCAGCTTCGGATGCCGAGAGTTTGAATGTTATGATTCTCTCCTGTCCAGGGACATGGGATGATTTTGGATGTTATGAACACTGGATGCTGCGATTTTGGACGTTTGGACCACGCTACGTTGACGTTTGGACGTTGTGAACTCTGGATGTTTCAATACACGCCAGGCGGATAAGGATGTGGGTTAAAGATACAAGCAATGAGCGCTGGTGCGTCAACGCAAGATTTCAGCATATAATTAGCCATGTCAGAAGTCGGCTGTCAATATCTGGGTTATATCATCCGGGACCCATTGAATAAAGATTGTTACAGCCTGCAGAGACGCTATCATACCCACGATGCACCTCAAGCTTCAGCGCCGAGGGCTTTGTGGGCCCCGAGCTCTTTTGATGTTTTGCATGCCTAGCAAACAAGTAATTTAAATTACTCACGTTGTGTTTGTTGGCTGTCATGCGTGTTCAACAATGCGATGAACAGCTGTGCACATTATCACCATACTTATGCCAGAGACATGCGTTTGCGTACGTGGTGCGTGCATTGCGCAGCAGTGCGCGTTATCACCATAACACTGCCCAATCATAAACAATAGCATGCGCTTCACATATTTTTATCTGTGATTTCTCCCACACGAAAACGCAACGTGAACATGTCAAGCATATCCAACACGTGACCAAAGTCTCCGGTTCATTGCGCGCTGTGTAAAGACCATCACACTTTCAACGTTCAATAGTAGCCGGAAGTTCCAAATCAGTGCCAGCAATGGCGACACAACTTACTCCGATTTGAACTCTTATCCTTTTCTGTCTGGCTGGCATGCCGCGGTGCTCCACGCCTACCGACGCCCGCTCACTCCGGGGTCCACGTGTGTCTATGGTGTCTTGTACCGTCTGTCGTGTTCTTCCAAGTCACATCCATGAGGTCATCGACCATGACGTCCCGGGCAGCAGATGTGTCGGTACGTGTCACCGAAGTCGATATCCGGGTAACAATGTTTGTTAAGCCGACAGTGGAAGTTTGCTGGGCAGTTGTCCGGGCAGCGGCCGCTGACCATACTCAGGGTGGCCAGCAGCAGCATCAGCTGTGGCACACAGCAACGGCCGGTACAGCACGCTACACCGCCGCACACGAACACAGCAGCCGCGGCCGGTACACGGTGCTAATGACAAGGGTGCACAACAGCTCGCGATCATTGATGATGGCACCAGTGAGTATCAGACGTGAAGAGTGGCAACAGACGTGACTTGTCGCTTCCCAGGGTCGTCGTAAGAGATCCTCTATAAATTATGTTACGCATGGAGGTGGAAAGTGTTTAAAGTATTTGATGGTGTTTAGCGCTGGAGTAACCAGGCAGGAAAGGTAGGGGCTTGGACAGCGTAACGTTCCGCTGTGGTATGGTGACAACTAATGCTGAAATGTTCAAAGTTAATTAAAAAATTATACAAACCAAATACCGTTAGCTTTCTCCATAACAAAGAACACACCGGTCATGTCTTCCGCGTCTTTAGCTTAACATGCGGCTAAGCGGACGTTGCTTTCTGTAGGCGCTACGCTTAAATGGAGTATGCAGCTTTGCGTGTACTTTTCATGTACCGTTAGAACAGACGTGCTTTGTTTTGCTGGCGGTGCCCGATGTCTTACAAGTCTTCTGAATTGCTCAGAATGTCAATTTAAAGGGGGGGGGGGTCGTAAGAACCCTGGGTTCCAAGGTAATAGGTTTCACCAGACAATATTTTTGGAACAAATAACACGCCACGTTGAATAAAGTGCTCCAAAAGTGGGAAACTCCCTTCAACGTGGCATAACCAGGGAGAGGGGTTGGGGTACCCAGCATAGCCAATGCGCGACCGGGGAAGGGAGGGTTACAAATGACCAAACATGTTTAACGTAATTTATTCACGGCTCCTGACCTCTCTTATTATGATGAGAATAGCTTTGATAGAAACTTGATGCGAAAAACTTACCCTTGCAAAGTACTAAACAGCATCTGCGCAATGGATGATCTCGAGGTTACCGAATATCTACACTGAAATCGAACACAGGTGGACCTCGCAGAATGATGTTTGCACTCACAATAGTGAAAATGGTCGACATCGGAGGTCTGATACGCGTCTCTGTGCTGTGAATACACCTGAAAATACATTGGTGTATCAGGGCTGACGGCCACACACCTGCATATATCGTACACATATTAATTAGGTGCTTGCATCCTAGTTTACTCTGATATATAGTAGCATCATCCACACTCTCACATATGAAGTGTTAGTTTCCAAAAAGCGACAGCATTCTTAATATTGCGATAGCATTTGTTCATGCTGTTAAAACATCGCACAAGCCCAACGATGACAACTATCATCTAGTATAGCGCGTATTTCACCACCCGTCTTACACAAATGTTTGTTGTTGGCAAACTTTCCCCAGTTCTATCTTTGCCCTCCTTCTGGGTACACGCCGTCCGAACCACGACTAGAGTGCAGAGAAGTACGTGTCGAACTCACCGGTCACGAGCTGGGTGCTTGACGGTGGCGATTGCTGAGAGGATGGAGGCGCGCCGCGGTGTGCCACTGAGCAGGTGCACCATAACCTTTATAGGCTTCGGACAGAAGGTGACCCCTAGCTGCGCTGCTGCTCTTCCCAGAATAAGGCACTGCCCTTCCACTCCTGCGTATAACATTCGGAAATGCCTCCGCAAACGCAGCAAATGATTCCGTCTGGGTATCGAAATGGATGTATAACAATAGACAATGCACAATGGAATCGACCGGATGCTTCGTTCGAAGAGCTGACGTTGCGATAAAAAATAACAACTAAATGACGATGACATAACATGATGACGACGCCACTGTTTGGCCCACTTTCATGCCGTGCAGGCAACCATCTCTCCCGAAGTTCCGTAACGGCTGCCAGATGCCCCTGGCAGCGAGATGAGATTGCAGACGTGCAACGACCCATGCTTCTCTGTCATTCCGTGTCTAAATCTGAGGCTGCGGGAGGGCGGCTGGGAAAACCGGCCACCGTCCACTGTTCCTGGAAGGCGCGGCTCACTCCGCGACTGGGCCTCCTGCTTCTGGAAGGCGCGCCTCATACCGCAGTTGGGCCAGCGGACTGCAAAAGAGTCTGACGTTTGGTTGAGACTGTATTAACTCCTCAGGCCTGCTAAAATGAGCATTCTCCAGAGGATCAAGCAGCACTTGAACGGGCTACTGCGCAGTTCGAAATCGAGAGCACGCCGAAATAGGATGACGAAAGACCGCATACGGTTGGTAGTTGTCGGACAACGTAAATGAAGAACTGTTCATAGTTTGTGTTTCTTGATCAGGGTTAGTTGGGCCAGACCAAGAAGCCATCCCCCGTCAAAAGCAGTCACTGGTTCCCCCATGATACTTTTTGTTCCTCTTATTGTTTGACATCACAAGGTCTGTGCATGTTAAATGCCTATGTGGCGCAGGTGTTGAAAGTGAGAGACAAGACTGCAGCTGTGTGGTCGTATGTTGCATTCCTTAGTGAATTTGAATACTGCTTAAAAAACAAATGCGAGCGGCTGGTGTAGCATTTTTTTAAAAGTTGGGACCATACCACATTATCAGGTGATTTCCAGATGAAGTCTTTGTCGGGGTTGATGTAAGAATTAACTTTGTTTTTGATGGATAAGCTTAATTTAGAACCAGCTTCGTCAACTGAGGTGAAATCTTCTCAAAATGTCTACCAAATAATCTCGTAAACTGGAACACAGAAGCTGCATGCAACTTGTCGCCAATCATCTTGTCTTGCATTGAACCAAACGCATAGAATTAAATAGCTCTCGGGCTGTTTCTGGCATCCTTCGCAGGGTTGGCATGATACAAAATACAAAGCAAAGGAAGGCCCAGCCTGTTCTCAAAGTTTGGGGGCTGGTACCCAAGTTGGGAGCCGAAGTCCCCCTCCCCCAACTGAGAAGGAGAATAACTAAAACCGAATTGCAAACCCCTGGTTTGCAAGTAGGCCAATTATTTCATTATTGTGATGTGTGAGAATGTTGCAAAGGTGGGTGTACTGAACCGCTTCCAGAAGTTTATCAACTGGAGCTGATGCAATAGCAGGAAAATGAAAATCCTGACTGTATTCAACACTACTCCAGCTAAGATCACATGCGATCAAGTGTATTTTAAGATGGTGTGTTTTAAAATTATACGTTTAAATGAGAGCAATACCTTTTGTTTTAAAAAATCAGAATAGTTCGCACGACCCTCAACTGACTTCAGCTGATCGGGCCACTACAAACAGGCTAGGAACCTTAATAGATGCTCAAATATGGACATAGACAAGTACGCATCGTGTGTGTCGATGGCATCCCAAACTTATCGCGCCATGCTGCGCTTCTCATTTTTCCCCGACTTCATTCAATTCACATTACATTACTTTACCAGAAACGCTGCCAATGCATAGCATATATTACATTTTGCGGACCAAGGTAATTTCAAGTGGGCAGCAGTTCTACAAAAGGATATGCAGCGTCCATAACCATTCGGTAAGGCATTGGGCCTAGTCACTACCAGACCTGATGACAATGTCACAGAGCGTCGCAAACCAACACTACCGCACTTTGTCAGCGGTAGCGAAAATCGGCTACAGAATCTGAAAGGTCCATTCACACAGCTGCGCAGCCACCGGTGATAACTGAGCCAAGCCCATTCGCACCGGCGCTCATAACTGAGCGCCAGTGCAACCGCAGAACAGCGCGCTCTGTCATGCGACAATGATCCTACCTGAAAGGTGGTACTGGATTTTTCCCAGCTTTGAGAGCCGGCAGTCCTTTTTGATTAATTCATTTCAGTTAAATCCGTAGCAGCAACGCTACAATTTATTAACGCTGGGGCTGAGACGCCCCTGCCCTTGCTCCCCCCCCCCCGCCCCTAGTTACCGAGTCTATTGACGCACTCAGCGAAAATGCATGATCAAATTGTCTGGTACATATTCCAACTCCGATGCTTAGAATCACACAGCGAGGAACCGTCAGCCTGCCACTCATTCGTTATGGGTGGTCATATGGCCGTTCATACAGCAGTACGCTGGCTCCGGCCATCTTGGCTACAGCCCGTGCTGGTGGCGCGAGGAGCCGCCAGGCCGCCATCATCATTGCATCATCGCCATGCGGTCTTCGCACGTCACGACACTTTCCGTACGAGCACTTTCACCAGCCCGGTCGTGACGCTGAGCGGCGGCGATAGATGCGCGGCACGCGACGAACGGATAGAAGACACTGGGCAGCGGCGGCTCGAGGCGTTCTCATACGCCGGTGCACTCCGAGTCGAGCTGCACCACAACGTATCGACGTGGTCGCACAGCAGGCACTGGCACACGTCGTCGGTCGTTCAGTCGCCGCGCACCAAGTCCGGGGCAGCAGCGGCAGCAGCAGTCTGAGGCCGCTGCACTCACATTTGAAAACAACAATAGTGAAGCAATGGGCCCAATCGCAAACCAGGTGTTTGTAATTCGTTTTTAAGTTGTTTTCTTTTTCAGTTGAGGAAAGGGAACGTCGGCTCCCAACTTGGGCACCGGCCCCCAAACTTTGAGAAGAAGCTGGGCAAAGTCCGGGAATGACACATTTGCTGGTGTGTGTTTGGGGTAGATTCTGTTGTTGTTCATTGTTCAGCTCCATCCTCCCCCACCCCACGAAAAAAATTCGACAGGGACATAGTTTTCCAAAAGGAAAACCTGACTTAAAGTAAGCTATTTATTGACATCAAGGCTAATTCTGACATCATCTCCGCTAAAGACTATAACTGAAAATCACCTGCTCATGTAGTGTGGTCCCAGCTCTCAGAACATGTCAGACCAACTGCAAGTATTCTGTCTTTAAACAGTGATTACCATTACTAACGAAATCAATGCACAACTACACAGCCTGTCTTGTTTCTCACTTTCAATACCTGTGACACATGGCATTTAACATGCACAGGCTCTGTGATGTCAAACAGAGCAACAAGAACTGTCACGGGAAGACCCGGAGATTGCTTTTGCTTTTGACGGGGAAATGGTTTCTTAGTCCTTAGTCCAGTTCTTAGTCCAACCACCCTCGATCAAGAGAAACAAAATATGGACATTGTCTAACAACTACCAATCGCACGCCGTCTTTCGTCGTCCTGTTTCGACATGTACTCGATTTTCAATTACGCAGCAGCCCGTACAAGTGCCGCTCAATTCTCTGGACAAAGTTCTCTGTAGCAGGCCTGAGGAATACTGCAGTCTTAACCACATGTTCGATTTTTTTCCCGTACGCTGGCCCAACTGCGGTATGAGCCGCGTCTTCCAGGGATATTGGACGGTTTTGCGGTCTTCCCAGCCGTCTGCCGGCAACCTCATTTGGACACGAGATGACAGGGAGGCATGGGTCGTTGTACATCTGCAGTCTCGCCCTCGCTGCCGGGGACATCTGGCGCCCGTTACGGGACTTGGGGAGGGAGGGTTGTCTGCACGGCATGGAAGCGGGCCAAACAGTGGTGTATGTTATGTCATCTTCATCTAGGTGCTCTCCCTCCAATCCTGGCGGCGGCGTTTTCATCGCAACGTCAGCTCTTGGAACGCAGCAGGCGGTACTGGTCGATTGTTATGCACCTGCTTCGATACCCAGACGGAATCATGTGCTGGGTTTGCGGAGGCATTTCCGGATGTCATACGCAGGAGTGTAAGGGCAGAGTCTCATTCTGGGAAGAACAGCTGCGCAGCTAGGGGTCACCCTCCGTCAGAAGTCTATAAAGGTTATGGTGCACCTGCTCAGCGGCACACCGCGGCGCGCCTCCATCCTCTCAGCAATCGCCACCGTCAAGCACCCAGCTCGTGACCGGTGAGTTCGACACGTACTTCTCTGCACTCTAGTCGTGGTTCGGACGGCGTGTACCCGGAAGGAGGGCAACGATAAAACTGGGGAGAGATTGCCAACAACAAACAGTTGTGTAAGATGGGTGACGAAATGCGCGCTATACTAGATGACAGCAGTCACCGTTGGTCGTTTACGATGTTTTGACGGCCTTGACAAATGTTATCGTAATTTTAAACCTGACGTTATTCTTTTAAAACTTACGCTTAACTAGTGGAAATGTGGATGACGGTGCTAAACATCAGAGTAAATTAGGATGCAAGCACCTAATTAATACGCGTACGATATATGCAGGTGTGTGGCCGTCAGCCCTGATACACCAATGTATTTTCAGGTGTTTCCACAGCACAGAGACGCGCTTCAGACCTTCGATGTCGACCATTTTTACTATTGTGAGTGCAAACATCATTCTGCGAGGTCCTCCTGGGTTCGATTTCAGTGTAGATATTCGGTAACCTCGAGATCATCCATTGCGCAGATGCTGTTTAGTACTTTGCAAGGGTAAGTTCTTCGCGCCAAGCTCCTATCAAAGATATTCTCATCACGGTAAAAGGGATCGGAAACCGTGCATAAATTACGTAAAACATTTTCGGTCACTTGCAAACCTCCCTTCCCCGGTCGCGCACAGGCTATGCTGGGTACCCCAAACCCTCTCCTGGTTACGCCACGTTGAAGAGAGTGACCCACCTTTAGGGCTATTCCAAAAAAAATCTGGTGAAGCCTCGGGTACCATTCAGTTCTAAGAAAAACATTGGGCAGTGCCACTACAACACCATCAAGATAAAGACGAGAATTTCAAGTACTTCTGAGTCCAGCCTATGCTGTCAATGTTTTGTAACAGCATTAAACTTCCTCCTTTCGTGGTAGCCCAATAGCGTATTCCCAAGACCTCTACATCTGCAGTTGTCGCGACCGGCGTCGTCTTGACGACGGCGGAATCTGCTGAGGGCCGCTGTCAGCTGTTATGGGTTAGATGTACCACTGTTGAGATGTTCCACCCGCACATTGCGGGTCTGCAGGCTTAACAGTGGCACCTCTACTGATATGAATGACGTCAGCACAAATGAGCGGTTGTGATTGACACCGAGGGGCGGATAGGGCCAGCTACTTTGAAGCGCACTGTCTGAAGCTTGAGTCAGTGCGCCACACCCCTCCGTTGCTAGACATTAGTTTTGGTCAGTAGCATAAGTTTTGTCACAGAAGCGATGCCCTCCAGCGGCAAGTCGCCGCTGTTATCCCCATTTGCAAACGGCACGACCCACCAAAAGCTTCAATTTTGAGCAGTCATTATCGTCCCAGCCGTCCGTGAAACAGCAGAGAAGCTGGTTCATCATCATCTCACCTCATATCTCACACAGTCGAGAAACTGGTTCATCATCAGCTCACCTCACATCTCTCACACCATCACCTCAGGCGTTCGGGCCAACAAGGCATCCTGAAAGTCGCTCAACTTACACGGCATTTCTATCGATCTCCAATCAGGTGCTACGAGGCATGGACCGGTCAGAAGAAACGGTTCTTACTTTGATCGACCTGAGTCGCTGTTTCGACGCACTGGACCACTCAATGTTGCTGACGAGGCCGCGGAAGCTCCAAGTATCTACAGACTGCATCCAAAGTTACCCGAGGTTACACATACAGCATGTGAGGATGGATCCGACGCTGTCTGGCCCAAAATAGTATCACCATTGGCACGTTCCCGGGGTCTTGCCTCAGGCCATTCCAGTACAACATCTTAAGCAACCACATCGCGTGCTTCACAAACGGCTTCCGTGTCACGATAATTCGGTATGCTGACGACGCACAGCTGGCCGTTACAGGCCCTCGAGGCAGATCAGAGGAGATGCGGCAGTCGCTGGAGTCACTGCTGGACGTAGCGTGCACGCGGTATTTGCAGCATGGGATGCTGTTAAAGGCCGCCAAAACCGAGCTGTTGTTATGTGGCGACCGCCGACAGCTTAGCCAAATCTGAGAGCTTCCGTCCGTAGCGTTCACTGATGGTGTGTTACAGGAAAATTCAAATAAGATAATTTTCATGCATGAATTTAAGTTACCTAAAAGTAAGTTTGATATGCTCATTGGGGATACGTGGACGCGCATTGTGTCAGTATGAGCATCAATATATTGAAAACCATCTACGTAGTGGCTATTTCGGTTTTAGGTCACGCGGATGCATTATGAAAAGGCATACACACAAGGTAAATAATAAAATGACACGAACAATGGCCAGAGAGCTCAAACAGGCCTATCAATACACTATGGCCGTTGATCAGTGGTTAATGGTAACAAATTACACCACGTATGGCGGTCTCAAACGTGTTCACTGCTGCGACATCACAGACGATTGCAGGCGGCTCCAGGCTGCTGCGGCTCGATACGAAAACCCCCTCTGTGCGGTGGTCAGTCGGTGTCTGCGCTGATGTAGACTACCTCTGCCCGAGACGGGCGCTTCACGACTCGAAACGGCGGCGCGTGGAGTGAAAAGCACGCGGACCTCTTGAGGCGCGCATATCTCCTTCAGCGCCCTAAACACACACCAGCTGAAGGGCATACCGTGAGATTGGCTGTAAGTCACATAAAGAACCGCGGTCCGTACGGTGGTGGCCTGAAATATCGGTCAGAGGTCCTCTTGTACCTTTAAGGAACCCTGAGACAATGCGGGTGTCTAACTCGGCCAGAAACCACGACCACCGAACAGATAACTTCTTGTCAGCCTGAACGCTGGGGGCCCATTTGCCAAGCAGGAGCAGGATCGGGGGCCACGATTGGCGTTGGTCTGGGTCTCTGAAACAGTGGCTGGACTCCTTCGTCGGTCAGGGCCCACAGTGCATGACAGGGGGACGGTCGGTCACGGACTTTGTTTGATGGGGTTCGAAGAGGGACCGGAGGACCCCGCGGGACCAAAGATCGACCGCACGGTTGGATTCGGACCCGGCCCCCACCCGTAGTGCCATGACCTGAAACGTAAGTCAGAGGGCTTCTATAAGGTCCCCTTTGCTGGGGTTCTGTATCCCTATTGTATAGGGCCTCGACACTGAGTCAAACAGTCGGCTCCATGTCCGTCTGAGCCCTTGGAGCCTATTTCATAAGCAGGAATGAGACCGGGGCACGCGATTTGCATTGTTTGGGGTCCCTGACACAATGAGTTGCTCCTGTGTCGGTCAGGGGTCAGCTGCGAGGGTCAGAAGGCCTCCCGCGTCAGGGAGCGGACCAATATGATATGATGTATCTCTGTAAAGCCTCCCGTCGGCCAGGGGATGTCGCCCCGTGTCGCCAGCGTGACGGCCGGAGGAAACATCGCGGTGAGACAGAACGGCCCTTCAACCCTTCACCGGGAAAATGTGCCCCGTAGCGTTCTACTTAAGGGGCCATTTTACCGGAAATGAAAGGTCTCATTAGTGTTGAATTGAGTGTGTTGAAATAAGTTCCAGACGCGCCAAGCCATCGCATGTCTGCCTGTGAACGTTCATTCTTCGCAGAATCGACTGGTGAAACAAATGCCATCAAAAGGTTTGAGTCTGCGCGCCGAGTGCCGATAGTGTAGTGGTCAACGCGCCTACGTTAACCCCAGGGCGTCTAGGAAACTTCAGGTACGGGGATCGATCCCTCGCAGTGCTCGCCTTTCTCGCCAGGGTGAGAGGCCAGCGACGCCGTGTAGCCCCAGCAGCTGAGTGCATCATAAAGCCCTGATGACACGTCCGCAATCTCGGGGAGCAGGAAAGCGACGGCTTAGGTTGCAGTTTTCGTAGGACCTATCGGCGCTGGCCACTGCAAATAACGCCAGTTGGCGCCGCTCGCGGAACAACAACCAAGTAAAATAATGCTTCTGATTTTGTTGTCAAAATTAACCCGTACGGTTCAAAGATGACATGGGCGAATCTTTTCTTACAGTTTTGAGGCTGTCCTCTGGACAGATTAACAGTTACAGCAACACGAAAAATGGAGATTTTACCTTTACTGCTCCAGTTGCACTGCCAGATTCCAGCGCCAGCTCGCGCTGCTGTGAAGACCAATACACTATTATCATAAATCTAAAACCGCACAGATAAAATATACACCCTGAATATCTCTAATTGAACGATTTGGTGTCCAAAAGCGCTCAGAGGTACTTCTTTGAAGTGTGTTATCATTTCCGTCCACCTGATGGCCACAGCCTAGTGTCGGCCGCAGGACCGACGCTGCGTGGCCCAGGGAGACTGTATCACGTGGCGTCGAGGGTTGTGCTGCTGAGATATGCGAGCGCACATGCACAAAACTACGCTACATAATTTATACCACTAATCTATTCTGAGTGTTGAACATACCCAGACAAACATGGCTTGGCCATGTTCATGCACATTATTGACCCATTTTGATTTTCAACCTACATTTGCGGAATTCTTGATGTCTCTGTACAACCCAGACACAAATTCTGACGTTTCTGAGTTCTATCGCTTTAAAAAGAGTTCACTAAACCATTGCAATATGGAGAGCACTGGCGTTTTAATTTATGCACTCATATAACGCATGATTTTTCTGTTTATTTGCTGTAAACTACAGGGAGAATTGGTATCGCGGTGAAGTCCGGCCTTTAGTCCAGTAAAGAACGTAAAATATGTAATATATATATATATATATATATATATACATATAAATATATATATATATATATATATATATATATATATATGCGATATCGATTCTCCCTGTAATTTACAGCAAATAAACAGAAAAAATCATGCGTTATATGAGTGCAAAAATTAAAACGCCAGTGCTCTCCATTTTGCAATGGTTTGGTGAACTCTTTTTAAAGCGATAGAACTCAGAAACGTCAGAATTTGTACCTGGGTTGTACAGAGACATCAAGAATTCCGCAAATGTAGGTTGAAGATCAAAATGGGTCAATGATGTGTATGAACATGGCCAGGCCATGTTTGTCTGTGTATGTTCAACACCCAGAATAGATTAGTGGTATAAATTACGCAGCGTAGTTTTGTGCATGTGCGCTCGCATATCTCAGCAGCACAACCCTCGACGCCACGTGATGCAGTTTACGTCTACATATACAACATCTCATAACCAAACAATTTGTTGATCTCTGGAAGTCCCAAAATTGAATGCTGCTGAAAATAAACTGTAACACTGTAATCGGCGTGTCAAACATTAACATTGACTGATATTCAGAAAAAAAACGTTGATCACGCACATCGTCAGTGCGCCATAAAGTTCCAATGACTCCGAGCAAAATGAAAGAGGTCTGTGGTGAATATAAATAAGAATGTGAATACGAATGCACACTGGTCTTCTGATCCATCAAACATAGTTAGCCAGAAAACGAAGACAGTCGCCTGCTTAGAATATTTTCAACGAACACGACTTCAAGGCATCGAAAACACACCCTTGATACGTATTCCCCAACGTACCGCAACTTATACGTTATGCCCGGGCCGGATGCGTCGCCCTGCCCGAGACGAATCCAAATCCAGTGATAGAAACCGGCATTCATAAAATGCTAACCCACCGGAAAAACAGGAGCTTTCAACGCCGATTCATACAAATGATATTTTATACTTTTATATATACTTTTGTAATGATGCACACATATCAGGGTGAGAAATGAAGTGTTGGTAGGATTCGGTTCTAAAGACATTGCTTTCAGATGATTGTCTGCATGCCGAAGCATTATGCCTCCACAATGAAGCTATTCGCAGGGCTTGACTTGCACCAGCGTAAGACGCCATTGCTGTTGGCTGTTGTCGGGCTTGGAAATGCAGACAAACCATGTCTTAATGAGTTTAATGTCGCGTAATCATTCATAATACACACTGCTTCGAGGGATTTGCAAATAATTAATGTAGTTGTCGTGCAACACCTCTCAAACTGCAAATGCTACTAATATGAATAGGGTCTCTGACATGATTAAGAGGCTCCTTTAACATGCAAATAATCTCAGTTGGATATAAAATGTTTGCTTATACATCCTAATAAAACTGCATAGAAGCCGTTTGTTATCAGAGTGCTTAGTATATATTAGAAACATTTTGAACTTTTCAAAACTTTTCAGCGATTCGACTTATTGTGAAAACGGCTTTCACGCAGGTAATAAACATGCAATCTGCATAGGAGGGGCCACATGTCCATGAAACTAACGTTCTATGTTCAACGCAAGCGCTACTGCGTACATTGCTCAACATTGTTAAGCCAGCTGTCCGAACTAGCAAGCAGTTCGTTTTTCAACTGGAAACGCTGAAGGCATCGTGAGGTCTTGCGCCTGGGAGCCGTCTGACTCGCCGGTCGGGGTCGGGCCGCCCCCGCCCGCCACACCAGGGAGGGTAGGGTGCCTTTTGCGCGCGGCGTGCCGCGGGGTGTGCCGCGATCCGACCGGGGCCGCGTCCCCCTGTAGGCATACCACTGGCGCCGACCCTGTTGAAAGCTATTTCTGGCGTGCGAGGGCAGCTTTGCTGGTAGTTTCACTCATGCCAGTTTGGAGGCGCCTGATAACGCACTCGATTTCTGGACGTTGACTAAGATAGTGGCATGATAGTGCTGCAGCCATCATAAATTCGAGTATGACGCTAAAACAAAACAAAATAATACAAAAATGTGCTACTAATATGACACTAAAATTCCAGCTCTTAGAAACGCACATGTTGGAATAGAAAGAGCACAGAAAGATCTATGCGAAGTACAACGGCAGCTTCCGCAAAGCAAATGCAGGACACGCCCAGCCGTACGCAATACTGCAAACACCTGGCTTCATCAGCCCGACTTAATTTCCGAGGTCCAAACTCAAACAAGGCTGCAAAGGACACCCATTGCCGTAAGTTGTATGCATCCCGCAACGTATCCCACAACACACACTCAAGGTGCATGCACCTTGAGCAGACTGTTGGCAGTCTGCAAAGTATCCTGATGCCAGACCGCTCAGTTACAAGCATTCCTCGGGCACGAGCAGCGATATCGCGCCCACCTACCTCCAAAGCCCGGTGGCTTTTGGCAAAGGATCAGATCTCACAATGGTGACCAGTCCCCTGTTGACCGCCGCGGCGATTATCCAGCGGGTTGGCGGGGGAGCGGCGGTGGTCGCCAGGCGCCGCTACCGTAAAGATGAGTGCGCAAGGAGAAAGTGGTCTTCCGACTCTAAAC